TACATCGTATCTAAATTAAGATGCATCTTGAAACAGTCGAAAATATGCTTAATACTACAATGATGCTACCTATACTAACCACTAAAATTGAACTGATCACCTACATCTTAATGGTGTCGCAGTTTTCCATTGATGTCGGTGTATTGGCTGGAAAATCACGTGGTGGGATCCAGTTTTTTCTCAGTCATTTTCAAATTGTTTTGGCTTTCATCAGCATTAAATTAATAAAAGTCGTAAAGGTATTATTTTTCGATAAATATTTTTGGATCCTTCCTGTACTGCCATTATTACGCTTATAATTCAAGAGTTCAAAACTAAGAGAATTGTTGCTTGTTTTATTAGTATTATTATGTAATTCTGAGATAGATTTTAAGATGTACTGTAATAAATTACAGTTAAAGCGATCGGTTAAGTGATGTAGATTTTAACTATCAGCTTCATGCACAATAGGAAGCAAGCAAAAATAGTATTTAACATGAGGGGGACCAGAAAGCAATGTCGTTTCGGAGCATTAAATATCAGTCTTAAATTTCAATTCATTTTTTTCGATACATTTTGATTCATTTACGATCCAGCATTAAAAGGTTGTTGCTAACGAGGGTGAATACATTATTGATTAAAAATAAACTCTTGATTACAAATATCAAATGCACCGAAACGACATTACTTTCCGATCCCCCTAATATATCCGCTAGTTTGGCAAGCGAAAATATTAAATTACGGTAGTGAACTCGTCACTACCGTTTTACAATATAATGGTATAACAATATAAATGTTATCTTAAAAAATGATTACTTACACAAATTACTTCTGTTCACCAATAGATCTAAATATTTATTATACTAATAGGTAATAAAAAATATTTGGACGTGGGAAGTGGAGACACATGCGTAAGCAAACATAATTACTTGTAGTACATAAATGTTGAGTGAATAGTTTTAACTTTAGTAGAAAAACTGTTTTCTGCCGAGAAACAACAATTATTGCGAAACTATCATCGGGGTTGATGAGCGACAGCGAACAGGGGACTTAGTCTCTTAGTAATATTACATTTTCATTTAGTTTTTCTTTAAATAAAATTTTTTAACCAAATTTTATATCAATAAATTATAATCGTTAATTTCATTCCTTTTCTGTCGTCACTTAAATCAAATTAGATTGGTTGTTGAAAAATGACTATTTAATTTTTATTAGAAACTGAACAACTGATATGCTTAAGGATCAGAATGACAACATGATCAGAAGGAATCTATAAAACCATGGCCTGACTTAAAAAAGAAAAATATATAGCTCGATTATAATTTCTTTATATTGAATTTTTTTTTTTTAATAAAGCGCTTGCTTCCAATTTTGTTTCCAATACTATAATTTAACTAAAAGATTGCACTGTTTTATTTGGATTTGAAATAACTGTTTATTTAAGGTAAGAGGCCTGCAGACGACCCAATGGCTGAGCTTGTAATTTTGAACCCCATCCAGAAGACAAGGATCTCCTGGATCAAGCATTCGACCAAACTTGTCTGTGTTAAGGATTTTTTGGTGGAGCTTACTCACATTTGTGATACATGGAGAGAAAAACCACGAAAATCTCCAATGGTTAACAAGACGGAAGGCGTTTCTAGCCAATGATTCTGCTTACAACTGAGGGTATTTTACATCAGCGCTGTGGCTGGTGCGAGTCGGGAGCAGAATTTATATTACCACTGGAATTCGAACCTGGGTAACTTCATTGGGAGGCGAGCGCTTTTTCCTCTCAGTTACCGCTGCTCTTCCCCGTAATTTAAATGTTATTTATTGTTATACTTAATCATACTAATTTTATTTAAATAATTTCTTTCAAATGAGTTTTTGAAAGATTACTTTTTTTATTAATAGTTATTGGTATAAACAGATATAATTCATAGAATTTTAAAATTATTGATGAGTAATACGGTTTTAAATTACCTAATTTAAATCCATAAATAATTTTTTTAATATTTTTAACTTTGAATTTTATTTCTTAACCAGGAATTTTTACTGTTAAATTTCATGGTAAAGGATAAGGTATTTAGTTTTATTTAAATAATTTCTCTCAAAGAGTTTTTAGAGATCACTGTTTCTGTTTGTTTCTTTAAAGTTTGATAGAGCCTGATAAAAATGATATTAAATTTCGTAAATTTATTCTTCATTTATCATTAATAATGAAACTGAAAATTGATTTTTCTTTTTAATTAATTATGTAGATAGGTTTTTCCCCAATTTGATCTTTTTACTTTCTTCGCCCATTTTCTTTTAAGTTTTAAGGAAAAGAGAAAAGGTATGAATTTTGTTTAAATAGTTTCCTTAAAATGCGTGATACTTTTTTTTCTTTTAGCTTATTTAATTCAATAGTTTTTATAGTTCATAATTCCATATTGGATTGTTTATTCCCGTAAGTAGTGTTTTTGTAATTTTATGTTTAATTTCTTTATCTTTTTGATTGGATTCTGTTTGTAAAACTTTCATGAAAAGAGATAGTTATGAAATTTTATTAAAGTAATTTCTCTAAAAGCAACGTCAGAGAGTTTACCTTTTGTTACGGTTTAATAATTGGGGAATTTAATTGACATAGTAATTATTTATCATTAGTACACGAGTTTTTTTTAGTACGAATTTTTTTTTCTTTTAAATTCTGATAAACATTTATCGAAATAAGTAGAGCTGGCCATTGTATTTAATGCAATTACTTATCATTAGTTATCCAGTTAAAATTACTTTTTATGTTCCGTGATTTATTTATTTGTAATCTTTTTGTCGAGTATTTTGATTTTTACAAATATTTTCTGCTAAGTTTTCATCAAAAAAGCAATCAATTTTATTTTATTAAATTCTTTCTTGTGAGTTCTTGATAGACAGAGACTGATGGAAAGATTACTTTGAAAGATAAATTTTTACATATTTTGTTTTCTAATTTCTTATATGGTCTGATAATAATGATATTTAATTGAATTCGTTTAATGTATCAATACCGTCATTCGGGGCTACTTTGTGCAAGTTCGAATTTGGCATTTTTCAAGTGCATTTTTCATTTCACGTTAAAAATGTGTGGAATTTGAATATAGAAGTCTCTTCTATTACTAAAAATATTTTTTCGAATTTTAAAACAATCTCAGAGTGTGTTTCGTTCATCCAATGTCAACAACTTTTCGAGGACGTCGGACGTCGAAAAGTGTGTGTGGAAACTTTAGCTGTGAAATGCAAAGACGTTGATAAAAAAATTGTCGTAAGTGCAAAATTTTTTATTTATATATTAATAAACAATTATATCATGTTAGCGTTAAAAAAATTTGAAAATTAATAACAAATAAATGGAAAATGAAAAAAAATGCACTTTGGGGCTACTTTGTGCAAAGTTTCATTCGTTTTTCTTTTCGACAGAAAAATGGTCAGAAGTTATAAAAAAATACCTGGAACGAGAAACTACCGTGATTACACTTTAGAAAAGCTGCAACAATGTTTGCAAGCAGTTGCTGGTGGTATGTCGATTGCAGAA